GTTTAAAATACAAACATTGATGTCCACTCTGCTGTGTGAGGACTCGAAGGGTGAGTTTTAGTATTGTATTGGGGATCTGATGTGCATGTGTGAAAAGCGCTGCACGCATAACATTTCTCCATAGAAAATTATTAAATCAGCACTAAAATATCAACTTTAAAATCAATCAGTGACTGACTTTTCAGGCAGTCACTTGGCCTTATGAACTTGGATTACAATATATAAAAATATATGAGTATGATGCAGCAGCTAGCTGCCACTCATGAATAGCACATTTTGTTAATTCACTGTTGGAGCTTGGTGTTTGCCAGTACAAATCTTGCAACTTTGTACGAATCGCACACCTCCGTTTCATCACACCGTTCAGTTTACTTGTGTCTTCTTCTGGCTTAACCAGTACATCATCTTTTCAATTCTCCATCATTCTGGCTGGTGTTTTACTAAACTTCATAATCCTTCCAGAAAATCCTTATTGGTTAAATAGAGATTATACACCAATTTCTCATTTATGATAACATTAAAGCAGATTGGTCATATATTTTCTTTCAAACAACTGAGAAAGGTTTAGGCACTCCAAGGTTCAAGCAGGAAATTTTATTTGAACCAAATGTCAAATAGCAACATTTTGTCCTATAAGGTCTTTCTCAAGCTAGAGAATGATCTTGCAGGTCTAAACGTTGCTGTTTGACATTTGGTCACTACTAAACCTCTCTCTGTTGTTTGCATATTATACCTGGGGTCTGGTGCAGGGTTCAATCATATTGATTGGATTGAGTGCAGTTCCTAACTCATTTTAGAAAAGAATATGTTTTCAGTACCCAGCCTTCCTTCATTTCTTTCCTTTCCTTATTTCTTTGTTTCCTTCTTAATTATTTCAGTAGAAAAGTAATCTAATGTAATCAGTCTTTTTTTTTTCATCTTCTGTCCTATGGTCTAGGCTCATTGATGGTATCAACATTACCAGTGAGGATAATCACATGTGGCTTATACCATTTACTCCAGGTCAAGATCACACGATTACAATCACTTTTGAAAAAGTTGAAACTATTGCAGGTTTGCGATTTTGGAATTACAATAAATCTTCTGAAGACATCTATAGAGGGGTAAGGAATTCTTAAATAACATGTTTATCCTATAATCCCATACTTTTTTTTTTTTTAACATTGGCAGAAAATGATAACCAGTTGTCAGGTTCAGGATACAGTGCCGTCTATCGCTGGTATAAGCTGTTATGGTATAATGGCAGAATTCTACTCTGCCTTAGCCATACCTGCAGTGGGGACCCAGCTGCAGTTACCCTCATTCATTATTAAACTATTTAAACACAGTTTAACACAGAACAATGAGTCTGTGCCAGGGGACTTCAAGTACCATAATTAATTCACTAAGCTAAAATGGCTATAGTGTCTAGACTGTTCCATTAATCACAGGAGCCTGTGCTCAAATACGGAATCTTCTATTCCTATTTGTGTGGTGTACATTGAAAATAATCATGCTGATATATTGATATACAATATAAAAGGTGTATAATTTAGTGTAGTATGGTTTGGATCACAGGGCAATAATGAATATTTAATTGAAATGTATTATACCTTTGTTTTCATTAGTTGTTCCAGATGCAATAACTTACTCAATACTAATTATAAACATGCAGAAATATAATTATTAGAACTCTAAACTGTTAAAATACACATACGTCTGACAAATAAACCGTTTTAAGGGAGCCCTGGCTCGATTTGATCCCTTTTTATACATTTTAAAGATAAATGCATTTAAAAACACCAATGCAATTTCAAAAGTGATTGTTCATTTTACATTATTTCCGTATCTCAGATGCAATATATATGTATATGTAAAGCATTAAAAGAAAAGATAACATGATCCAATCAATGAATATTAACGAATATGACAATCTATTCTGTAGGCGAAGATTGTCCATATAACTCTTGATGGTAGTTGCATTTCACCATCAGAAGGATTCCTGATACGCAAAGGACCTGGCAACTGTCACTTTGATTTTGCTCAAGAGATTCTCTTTGTTGACTATGTGCAACAACAAACAACTGATAAACAAACAAGGTAATATCCTGCAATCCATCAAGTTCAGCCTTTCTCACATACATTTTTGCTGTTTCAAAAGTAGGCAAAACGTTTTTGAAGCACTCTACAATTTTGCAACAAACTAGGGATAAAATGCCCTCTACACCCCAGAATGGCAGTCAGACCTCTCCTTGGATCGAGAAGCTGTTATCTACATATTAAAAATTGTATCCCTGAATATTATGCTTTTGCAAGTATTCATCCAGTGGCTGTTTAAGCATATTGAGATTGTGATAAAACACCACCTATTCAGGCATAGATGCCACATCCTTATTGCTTGTATTGGTTTTCTTCCCTGGCTGCCGTTCCCATGAACCAAAACCACAAATGGTCCTCAGCGGTACTTGGCCACGACTGCTATGGAACTAATTTCGGATGGAGCATTCGGCGGGGAAAGTCCTTCTAAGGACTATAGTTCCCAGGACTGTGTGTAACTAGTCCCCTATCTTGTTCCCGGATGGAGAGTCTCCAAGAGGACCTCAGTCAAGCCACGGCAACTGGGTCAGAAGTGCTGAGGTTTTCCCTGGTTCCAGCTAGGAAGCGATCCTGGGCGGAGGTACCCAGCTGCGGTACAGGGAGCTCCGCCACAGCTATCAGCAGTGGCGTACATACCGGGGTCGCGACTGCGACCGGGCCCGGCCCAGCAGGGGGCCCGGCCGCCCTGCGAACCGGTATGTACCCACTGGGCCAGCCTCTTCTCCTGGGGGGGCCCAGGAGCCGGCCACCTCAGGGCCCCCCAAGGTTGGCCCTGCTGACACCCGGCAGGCGGGCTATCTGGGTGGCCGGCGCATGATGTCATCTTCCGGCGCCAGCATCCCTACGCGGCGCTGAGGGAGCTGAAGAGGAAGCACTCAGGGGAGAGTGCTCCTTCGCGCACCCGCCCGCAGGACCGGCCACCCAGGAGCCCAGCAGCACCACTGGACCCCAGGGAATCACCTCAGCTCTCCAAAAGGTAGGGAGGCTGGGGGGATTAAACTTTAAAAAAAAAAGTGTGTGTGTGTTTGTGTTAGTGTGTGTTTGTGTGTGTCTGCTATTGAGTGTCAGTGAGTGTGTCTGTTATTGGGTGTGTGTCTGCTAGTGAGTGTCAATGAGTGTGTTACTGTGTGTGTCTGTTACTGAGTGTGTTTGAGGTCTGTTAGTGAGTGTGTGTTTGTCAGTGAAAGTGTATGTTTTGTAAGTGAGTGTGTATGTATGTCTGTCGCTGAGTGTGTCTCTGTCAGTAAATGTGTGTGTCTGTTAGCTAGCATAGGCTATGTTTTCAGCTGCAGGGTGAAAACTAGAGGGACCTGGCACCCAGACCACTTCATTGAGCTGATGTGATCTGGGTGTCTGTAGTGGTCCTTTAAGTGTGTGTGCATACCGCGGTCGCAGGGTCGCAACCCTGCATCCCCTGCGACCAGGTGCCCGCCGCCATTTGTTGCGTCCCCGACCCGTGCCAAGTAAGCGCGGGGGTGGGGGGGCCACGGATCAATTTTCGCACCGGGGCCCTATGGGTTATGTGTATGCCACTGGCTATCACTTTAGTTGTTTAGTTTTAATAAACTAGTTTTATTGAATTGTGTTTATCACATTAAAGGGACACTAGAACAGCTACAGCTTATTGTATTTGTTCTGGTGAATAGAATCCTTCCCTTCAGGCTTTTTGTTGTAAACACTGTCTTTTAAGAGAAAATTCAGTTTTTACATTACAGCCTAGTGATAACTGCACTGGCCACTCCTCTGATGGCTGCTAAAGCTGCTTCCTTGGACAGTGCTGCAGAGTAAGCAGCACTGCTTTTCAGTGTCTCCACCCTCTGCATGTAGACACTGAACTTTTCTCATAGAGTTGCATTGATTCAATTAATCTCTATGAGGAGATGCTGATTGGCCAGAGCTGTGTTTGACTTGTGCTGGCTCTGCCTCTGATCTGCCTCCTTGACAGTGTCAGCCAATCCTATGGGGAAGCATTGTGATTGGCTCAGACCACCACTTTTTATGATATTGGTAAACAGAGACAGTTCAGGGGCAGAGCCAGCAGCTTCAGACTTGAACACAAGTAAGATTTTACTATATTTAGGGAGGCCAGGGGGGCTTGATGGTGGTTTGCATTCCTGACCGTTTAGTGTTCCTTTATTTTTGCATTATATATATTCACAATGTTCTTACAACAGATTATTTAAATACACTTATTTAGCACCAACTCTATTTGAGTTGTCTCCCACATTGGAATTAGTGTCCATATCGGGGTATTGTGAAGTAGTGGTGGGCTTAACACAATATGGTGGAGCTGAATCCCCATGTTTGTTTGCTGAGATAGGTGATTTTTAAATAGCCTTATAGAATTTAGAATTTTTTTATTCTTTATTTAGGTTGTGCATAGGTTAACAATCACAACTGCACAGCCACAACAGCTGGTGCAGTCCAAGCATTAGACAGAGATAGACACAGATGTTTTGCGTCAAATACATTGCACAGTTTTTTGTTATAAGGAAGGGATAAACTGTAAGCTAGGAACATAGGTCTAGACAAGCAATGTCATCAGGGGCGTATTAGCCGCGAGGCAAACAAGGCATTTTTCAGGGGGCGGCAAAAAACGCCGCCCCCCAAATGCCCAGGGCAGATGCCTTGTTAGCCTTGCGGCTAACTGACATCCCGAGCGGGCGGGCGTGCGGCGCTGGCAGCCGGGCAGCCGGCGAGGGAGCACTTCCCATGAGCTGACTGCTCAGCTCCCTCGCGCACCGCAAAGTGAGGCTGGGAGCCGGAAGATGACGTCATCTTCCGGTTCCCAGCCTCACTCTGCAGCCGACGCGCGAGGGAGCTGAGCAGTCAGCTCATGGGAAGTGCTCCCTCGCCGGCCGCCCACCTGCCAGCGCCGCACGCCCTGCAGCCACTGGACCACCAGGGAGAGAGACCCCCCCCCAGCACTCCCAAAGGTAAGGAGGTTGGGGGGGATTTAAATAAAAAAAAAGTTAATGTGTGTGTGTGTTTGTGTCTGACTGTGTGGGTGAGTGTGTGTTTGTGTCTGTGTATGTGTCTGACTGTGTGTGTGTCTGTGTATGTGTCTGACTGTGTGTGTGTGTATGTGACTGTGTATGTGTTTGTGTCTGACTGTGTGTGTGTGTGTGTTTGTGTCTGACTGTGTATGTGTCTGACTGTGTGTGTGTGTGTGTTTGTGTATGTGTCTGTGTGTGTGTGTGTTTGTGTCTGACTGTGTGTGTGTGTGTGTGTGTTTGTGTATGTGTCTGACTGTGTGTGTGTGTGTTTGTGTCTGACTGTGTGTGTGTTTGTGTCTGACTGTGTGTGTGTTTGTGTATGTGTCTGACTGTGTGTGTGTGTGTATTTAGAAGGTGGGGCGGGGGGAAGGGTTGGGTAGGGGGGCGCCTGAGTTTTGTCCTGCCTAGGGCAGCACAAAACCAGGATACACCACTGAATGTCATACCGTCTAACATCAGGTAAGCTAGCTAGACTGGTGTGTAGTAAAGTTAGAGGATGCTATGTGCCTGGTTGTATGCTAATATATAGATGTGTACAAAAAAAACCTACTAAATTTTTTTAATGTGTTTTTTTAAAAACATTTATTGATCAAATTTGTAAACTTTTTAAAACCCCTGCCCCCTCTACAAAATCCCTGCACCCCCTCACACACAGTTACAGACAGACAGTCACACACAGTTACAAGCAGACAGTTACACGCACACAGTCACATGCAGACAGTCACACATATAGTCACAGGCAGTCATACACACAGTTACAGGTAGAGAGTTGCACACACACACAGTCAGTTACAAGCAGTTGCACACAGTCACGCACACTGTTACAGGCAGACAGTCACATATACAGTCACACACACGGTCACAGGCAGACAGTCATACACATAGTTACAGCCACAAACACACACAGTTACAGGCAGTTACACACACAGTCAGTTACAGGCAGTCACGCACAAAGTTACATGCAGACAGTCACAGGCAGACAGTAACACACAGTTACAGGCAGCATCACACAGTCACAGGCAGACTGTCACAGACACACAGTTACAGGCATGCAGTCACACACACACACACACAAACACACAGTTACAGGTAGACAGTTACGCACACACAGTTACACACATACACACAGTTACAGGCAGACCGTTACACACACACACACACAGTTACAGACAGACAGTTACACACACACACAGTTACAGACACACACAAGACAGACAGTCACACGTACAGTTACAGACAGTCACACGTACAGTTACAGACAGTCACACGTACAGTTACAGACAGTCACACGTACAGTTACAGACAGACACACACACAGTTACAGACAGACAGTCACACACACACACACAGTTTCAGGCAGTCACACACACATACAGTTACAGACAGTCACACACACACAGTTACAGACAGACAGACACACACACACACACACACACACAGTTTCAGGCAGTTACACACACACACACACACACACACACACTCTAATACTTACAGTGTGGGCTGGAGGAGTGGATTAATTGAAGTCCTTCCATAGAGCCTGGTAGGTGGAGGTGCAGGGATTTCTTCTTGCTGCACCTCCATGTGCAGCATTAACAACAGCCCCTGCTCGCGGTTAGGCTCCGCCCCCAAATATCAGTAGCTCCGCCCCCTTCTTCCTCCCATGCGGCCAGTTTATCTTGCTGGTCTCTCTGTGTGAGCTGTGTGACACCCCAGCTGCCATGGGGCACAGCTCACACAGCCCCAAGACCAGGGTCAAGGCACCCCCCTACCAGGGGGCACGCGGGGCGGTCCGCCCCCACTTTAGTCCGCCACTGGTACTATGGTCGGTAGACTATCCGTTCAGGGATGTGTAGTAAACATACTTGCATTATGTGAGAACAATATTATTAAAACTGTAGAACAAGTTAATTGACCAAAAAACCCTGGTGCCTTGCAGCATAGTGGCAGGCATGCTTCAGGTCGTTACTGCAACGTTCAAATCTTTCTTGGATCCGCATGGGACAAAGGGGATCTTACATCGGTGATATGGCTTGTTTGCTCCCTGGGGCTCAGTGGTGCCCGGTTTTAGTTTCTTAGTCCCAGTGTAGGCAGCAAAGTTGCCACTTCCTGGAGGTCTCGGACCGTGTATTTGTTTTCTCCACGCACGATCTGCAATGTACGAGTCTGGTGCCATTTGTATCTTACTCTGTGTTTTTGCAGGAGTGCAGTAAATGGTCTAAGTGACCTCTGCCAGACGAGTGTGCCCCCAGTGAGGTCCACATAGTAGGATAATTCCATCGATTCTAATTTATAGGGTGAACAGTCCCTGGTTGCTGCCATCTCTGCTGCTTTGTCTGTATATTGTTGGAACCGTATGATGAGGTCCTGAGGTGCCGTGGTTGGTGCTTTGGCCAGTTTTGGGACATGAAAGAAACCATCCAGGTTGATTGTTTTAGCTTGCCGTGGTGACCGCAGGGCCACTAGAAGGCGTCTCAGTAAGTGTGGCATCTCGGCCGTTGGGGTGTCCTCCAGGATGCCCCGGATCTTAAGATTGTTGGCCCAGCATGCATTCTCCAAGGCCGCAAAATGGCACTCATGTGCCTCATTCTGCAACTGAAATCCCTGGACCACCTGCTGCAGCGAAGTGATTTGGTCCGAGCAGACACTGGATGCAGACTCTAAAGCTCCCATTCTACCTGTCAGGCCGTAGATGTCAGTGCGGAGCGTGGCGACATCTGACTGGATGGTCTTCTGGAGGTCTGTGAGGAGCGATTTCAGGATTGCGGTCGTCACCAGTGAGTTGTCTGCTTTCTGTGTGACCAGTGCCGGTCTCTGCACCAAAGGTAAGTCGGCCGCCTCTTCCCCCGAGGAGAAATTGTCCGATAGCTCGGAGTGGGTTTCAGGGTAGGCAGCCATCTTAGACCCAGTGGCTTTGCGTGTTTGTTGCAGGAGCTCGGCAATGTTTGTCCTTTGCCGCGGTTTATCTGGTTTTAGTTTCTTAGTCTTGCAACCAGTGCCGGTGCTAGGATTTTAAGTTACACAGGCGAACATGCATTTTGGTGCCCCTCAACCTCCTTTAAAAAAAAAAAATGCATCTTCACCTGTGTGTATTTCCTCCCAAGCCACAGGCATAATTTTTCAGTCACACAATCATACAAACACAGAAATAATCATACAGAGACATTTAGACACATACAGTCAGTCAGAGACATACAGACATACAGGCAAAGACATACATGCATACAGAGACATGAAGGCATATAAAAACATGCATACATACAGAGGCATACCGTCATACAGACACATACATACATACAGAAACTTACATACAAAGACATCCAGGCACATACATACATACAGACACATACATACATACAGGCATACAAAGACATGCATGCATACAGAGACATACTGCCATACAGACACATACATATATACAGGCATACAGAGATACAGGCAAACAGAAACATACATACAAAGACATACAGGCATACATACAGAGACATACAGGCATACAGAAACATACATACAAGACATACAGGCATACAGACACATACAAACATTCATACATAGAGAGGCAAACCGTCATACAGACATACATACATAAACATACAAAGACATACAGGCATACAGAGACACACAGACACATACGTACATACAGAGACATAAAGGCATACAGTTACACACATGCATACAGAGACATATATACAGACATTCAGAGACAAACAAACATTTAGTTACATACATGCATGCATACAGATACATGCATGCATACAGATACATACATGCATACAGAGACATACATACATAGAGATAGATACATACATAGAGATAGATACATACATACATACAGAGACAGACATACACAGACATACATACAGAGACAGACATACATACATACAGATACATACATGCATGCATACAGAGACATACATGCATGCATACAGATAGATACATACATAGAGATAGATA